GCAATTAGAAAACTTCGTTAAGACTTAATTATACTCCTTCCTTAAGTATACGATATAAAGAAGACGTGATTTTCTATTGATTGACTAAAAGAAAGCGTATTTTGTTTATGGTTTCTATAAAATATATTTGAATTTCCAAGACCATCGAAAATCAATGGGAAAAATGCATGCTAATTAAGTAGTCATTTTTACCGAGCACGCTTTCTACAGGAGATTGAAAAGAAGTGCATTTAAAAGCTGACATCTTGCCGAGTCCGAAATGTTATAAGAGTATGTCTTAAGATAATCAGTATTACAACCGCGACCAAGTAGTCCTTCCTAATCGAAAACGCATTTCAGAATTTCAGCCAAAATTTCATGAGATCGTTCACTCACAGGATGTATGACCCTAGTGAGCAGGTCGTTTGAGGCCCGTATAGGCGGGTCGCTTTCTTCTGTCAGCTACTGCTCCAACGACTGCCTTCCGTCGCCTTGACTTTGTTTCCCTACGGAAGAGTGCGGTAAGAGTGGCATCAGACGTGTCCAGCAAAAGTCCGCCTTCCCATGGGCATGTTGCTTTCTTAAACTACCACTGCGCTCTACCCTGGATGGTGCCTAACGTTACCGCTCACGATGGACGTACTTGATTTCATTTGTATACCCACTATTTCACACTAAGCTCCATGCTATCCTTAGGTTGGTTTTGGAATGAGGTCGACGACTCAGCGCATTTTCTTCCTCACTATAAACATTCTGACGGGCTTAAAGCTATCACGGTGCGCTAAGAGCCGTGGCTTGGAAGGTTGCCAACTGACGAGATAACTTGGATCTCGCAGTCGGCCCAGTGTTATGTGTGTTGCAGTTGTGTAGAGTGGCCGGCTGGTGGTCTGAGAGTCAGGCTGCAATGGCTCCTCCTTTATGTAACCTTTATGGCACCCCCACTATGTGGGATTCGAGCCAGGCGTTGGCGGCACACCTATGTAGGTGCGGTTTCTACCGTGTCAGCCTCCAATCTTTGTTGTTGCTGGTCAAAACCCTGGCTATTTGTTGTGTGGATCAGGGGATGCGGAGTGGAGCGCCAAGGTGCGGATCCGTCCAAGCCATCCACGTGCGGCCTCCCTCATCTCCGGTCTTCTTGACTCTGTCTTGACACCAGGCTCAGTTTGGGGAGGAGGGGGAGTGTGGTAGATGCACAACAAGTCTACTGGCACTATAAACCTCGCGCAAGTCAACGTCCCTGTTCTCCCCCTGCTGTGGAGCGTACGGTGGACATCGTTGGATACGACGGTCGGACTGTCGTGTGTGTGTGTATGCGGGAAGAGTTGAATCAGACATGTCCAACGAAATTTCACTTTACTATGGACATATTTTTACCACTGCACTCTGCCCTAGATATTGGCTAAAGTCCTCGCTCACGATGGACGTACTGGCGGCCATTAGTGTACCCAGTCGTTCACACTGGGCTCGATGCTATCCTTTAATTAGTTCTGGCAAATGTTATCACTCAGAGATGCTTAAAGGAGGAAGAGGAGAATACTGCAAAAACTACGCATCATTACCCCCGTCAAAGTCCTCCTAACGCGCACACTGCCTATTGCTGCGCCTGAAAAGTCGAAGTTTGGGCACTGGTCAAAGGGAAGGCGAGAGGCCTTGTCAGCCGCTCTGCCTAATTTCACCGTTAAGTTTCGAGACACAGTTCGGCGCTCCTAAACTTCCCACGCCTGAAAAACCTCAAAGTATGGAAAAAAGTTAAAACCAGGCTAGCAGGAGCTGGGTGGATTTACGATCACTTCGAGGTTCGGTGCACATGGCGGCGGGTCAGACGTCTTGAGGTAAGCAGTGTTCGTTTTCAGTTACTGTGCAGCTTAAAGGGCTGCAAGTTTTTTCAAGAATATAGTAACCTGCTTCGTAGTGTCAGATACTGATGACGCATGCATTTTGTCAAAAGGTAAGCACATCTGACAGAAACGGGCATTTGTCCTATGCATCCATTTCCACACTGTTGGAGGATCGGCAGAGATCGGAGTGAATTGGCCACTCGCCTCCCTCACTCATCATTGGGGCTACCTGCAGGTAGTTGTATCCTCAGCCAGCAGGGGGAACTCGGTCTAGGTGGAAGGGATGCCTTAATTTTGAAGTAGGTTCCGGCACCCGCGTCACTGGATCCACACTCCTCAGGGCCAATTCCTCTCGGTGCATCCAAATTGGCAGTCGTCTTCAGGATTCTCTTGTTGTCACCGTATTTGCAGGTCATCGGTGAGAAAATCCACCTCCATGATATTTAGGCAGAATATCCTCAGGTTCCGTCATTCAATATTGAATTGCAGATTCAGAAGACGAAGATGCGACCACTGGAACAAGAAATTTATTAGCCTGGCGTTCCGGATTCTCACTCGAATCCATCATCAGAGACATTCGCAGATTAAGCTGATGGCGGCACAAGGCGTGCAGTATTTATAGCACGTGGCTGCCGTGGGACCGTATGCGCACTGTAATTAACAGCTCTCGCAATCACCGCTGGGGTCGTAATTGGTGCGGTGGTGGCTTGCCAGTCCGAGTCCGAGTCGTTAATGGCCGTGATTTCATCATCCGTGCCGGATGCTGGCGTGACGATTGCTCGCAAATTGGCCCACTGTCACTGGGATAATTGCTCGCCCACGCCCTCACCACGTGACCGATTCCCCTGCCCAGGGAAAATCTCAGCACGGAATATGGTACTGGGAGGTCATTGTGCTTGTTGATGGATTGCGGGCTTGAGAACCATGACTCAGGAAGCTCGCGGCTCACGCGGTTGTCACCCCTTGCGAGGATTTCGGCCTCTTGAAATTTGAAAATAAGGCCAGGTCCCGTCGAGTGTGCCGCCATCTGAGAGCTAGCGTCTCCCCACCTCACTGCTGCTACGTGCTCGGCAATTCGCGTACGGAGTAATTTCCCAGTTTCTCCGACATAGTCGTTTTGTCCGCGACTCCAGACACGTTTCCTGCCGTGGCAGCGGGTCTTTTGGCCACATGACTTGCAGATTCTAATTCGCAACTCCCATGACCGGTTGCTGAAGGGTTCTGGTCATTGTGGCACATTAGAGAAGGGAAGAATGTAGGGGCTTTCTTCAATTGTTGACCAGTAAAACAGTGCGTTTCCAATTCAGAGTTCAGAGACCAAAGGTTACTTGACCAGCTTTTGTTTCATCAGGACGCATAAGGTACTGATAGTGTGCGCCGGCCAGAGAAGGAAACTTTAGTGTCTGTTTACCGACAAATGTGTCGGTGATGTCACTGGCGAGATCAACGGAAAGAGTGGCAAACACGAATAGCTGCCCGCGTTTGTGGTCATGGGACTCGAGGCGGTCCCGCCTGAGCCGGGGTTTTCGCAACTCAGTGAAAGTACATCATCGCAAGAGTACAGCATCTGCTCCTCTACGCTTCTCCAAACCCTCTGAGACACTTCTTTCCTCAAAAACTGCCGGGCGTCCATTTATCGAGATGGACCCAGAGCTGTGGTCCCGTGAATTCGCTGGGCATCTTGCACACTGTTATGCACCCGTGTAAAGTTACGTTAGCCCCAAACAGAAGCCAAGAATCTACCCAACACAGTCAAGTTCGACGTGGGCTAAATTCTCGCGAGCTGCGAGCTACTTGAGTCATGCTTCATGTGACCCCAATCTATTAACAAGTACGATGAACTTCCCTTCCATTTTCGGTGCTCAGACTTGGCCTAGGCAGAGTAATTACCTACGGAGGAGAGCGCAGGCGCACACTGTTTAAAACGTCAGCGTCGGTGATCCAGATGGCCAGACGTACTCGGTCACGCGGTAGACGCGCTGAACCAATACGCGAGGCTAGATCGGGGTGCGGCTGGAGTTATTGGGAATACGCACCCATAACAAATGTCAACAGTGGGAAGTGGTTGCACGCCCAGATGCAGTCTCAAGCCACGCTAGTCTCGACCCGAGCCGCTCCCCGATCATTCTGGTTGCGTAAAATCCTAGTTAATGTACATTGTGGACCAAGGGGTGTGGTGGTGGTGGTGGTGGTGGTGGTGGTGGTGGTGGTGGTGGTGGTGGTGGTGGGTTCGCGGCACGCCAACCACCTGCACCATCCTCCGCCTCCAGTCTTTTTGACACCATCTTGAAATCGACCCCAGGTGGGGGAAGGAGGTGAAACTGCGGTAGATACCGTGCAATCCCGAGTATGAATCCGAAACGTCAGGCGAACAAAGCTCTTGTTTCAGCGAACGCATTTACTTCTTCACGATTATTTAGATTTCGATCGTCGCGCATCACTGTGCATTGAATACCAACAGTATTTATATTTTACCACCGGTTGTTGGGTGTCGTCAAAGGAAACCGGTAAAGGGGGACTCCAACCTCTGTTAACAGGTACTGCTAAACCCACTAAGCTGTGGTATCCACTGATAAAGACCTGGGCTGTTAGCCATTAAATTATTTATCCAACAGTTCCTGCTCACCACTTTAGGGTCGCCTGTGCACAAACCGTCCCCTCCCACCTGAAAAGCCTGGTTCTAGGAAGAAGTGGAAGTCTTCAGATTGATCAGCAGGTTTATTTCACGGGGATCCGCCCAAAAAAGTTAAATTTTATCGGTAACACAGCAAGTGGTGCGCACTCCACGCAATTCACGCACAGTTGCGCTCAAAAACACGCGTGTGTGTGTTCTGCTCTCCGGGCAGATCGGGCGTAACTACAAGAGACACGCCGACTGCAAGCAGGCAGATGGATGGAAGAGAAACAAAAGGCATTACACCCCCTGCCATTGCCTAACTGTACAAAATAATAGACTCCACTCGGAAGTTCGGCAAAACCAGAGAAAATTCGGGGGGGGGAGATCGGACGACGCCTGGTGCTAGCAGCACCAGTGCGATGAAGAAAGATGGGAAAGGGAGAGGGAAGGGGTGAGAGGGCCGTGAGAATTGGCTGTTGCAGCAGCCAAACACGTACGCACATTTGATTGGGTGAGGGGGATTGTGCGCGATGACGCCTCACAACCGAAAGCAGCGTGAAAACAGCCTAGGAGAAGCAGACCTCGCCCACTTCAACGCCGAATGCCGGAACGCTGAGGGCACCGGCTGGCAACTGCACATCTCGCAGAGGCAGGCGTGCCGGTCGGCCGTCCACGCGTACAATCGTCTCACCGTCTTCAATCTGTTTGGAAGGACGCGGAGAAGGAAGTGAGCGTTAGGCAAAATGGCAAGTCGCGCGTGTGCACTCCACGCCTAACTTTTGACGATATCGTGATTACTTAGCCTGACAAGAAGTCGTCCTAACTGGCCCAGAGGACCGTTCGCCAAACGTGCTTTTTTCAGACCCGAACACTCGCCGGGGACTGTTACTCAGAAATAGCATAATTACCATAAGAGAAACCCCTAGACAGTATGCAGAAGACCAGCTTGAAAGCGTCCCTGCGAAATCTCTAGAGCTCGACCACCATAAGCACCAAAGGTAAACTGCGCTCGGCCGTTTGCATGTAGAGCAAAGGAAACATGAGGGCTTTTGGGAGACAGTTGCTACTAAGCGGGTCGACGGTCACATCCCATTGGCACATCCACTCGTTTGACGCCGCAGACAAAGTTATCTGGGCCATGCACATCGATGATGATGATGATGATGATGATGATGGTGGTGGTGGTGGTGGTGGTGGTGGTGGTGGTGGTGGTGGTGGTGATGATGATGATGATGATGATGATGATGATGATGATGATGATGATGATGATGATGATGATGATGATGATGATGATGATGATGATGATGATGATGATGATGATGATGATGATGATGATGATGATGATGATGATGATGATGATGATGATGATGATGATGCGTGAGGCGTTATTACCGGGACCTATATTTTACTCTTCGCGTAGGAAACCTCGTAAATCATAAGTAAACTACGCCTCCGAAACTCTTGGAATTAAACTGTCCATATACAACCTCGCTCAATCAAAGACAACCAGCACTTAAATTCAACACTATCCATTTTCCCCTAGTACACGAAAACCCCTACTAGCCTTACTTTCTTTGTGTCGTCTCTGTACTGACATTGGGATCGTTACAATATTCTGATGGTCCAACTCTCAACTAGTCGATGGTTAGGCAAATGAAAGTGAATTTTCTCAGCTACCTACCTGTCCACAGGTCGACTTCTCCAGGATGAATCGCCTCTTGGGATGATGCATGGTCAGGATGGTGTCATCGTCGCCAAGAAGACCCAAGTCCATGCTCGTGGAGTTGGATGACTGCGCCAGACCTCTGCAGTTGATGTACAGGCTCTGGACCGCCCGGTGGCTGAAGATCTTTAGGTAGTTCAGTTGATCGGCATCGATTCCATAGTCAAACTGCAGGAGGAGGGGAGAGAAGAGGCAGAAAGTAGGCTTTTACGTCACATTTATGTGCCATCCACACTTCTAAAAGAGACCTGGCATCTCGCAACTGACCTCGCCGAATTCGTTGACCTGCTGGAACCAGCTGGGTTCTTCTGGAGCCACCTTGATCCATTTGCCGATCTGGAAGACGCTACGTTTCGGTGAAATGCAGGTCTCCCTGCTTTGGATCTTGCATTTGACCTGAACGGCATCGAAGGGCAAGCCACCGTTAGGGTCCAGCCAGTAGAGTCCTGCGAATGCAAAGGATTCATGACAGCTCGGAGTAAAAGTTGACCTTTAGCTCATCAAAAGTTTCCAATGTGACCTAAAGTTTCCGGCCGAGCCCATGTGTGACCAGAGGGCCAGTTATAGAACTCCTTTATTAGAATGAAGTGAAATTGCTTTTAATATTTTCTGAATTTCCGCCTTTGCCTCTTGAGAAAGTCAATTTAACTAACACTTCTTCCTATGACATGATCCGCCTTAGTTTACTTATCAACCTTATCCGCCTGCAGATCTTGGATGCGATGGCATCATGTTTGCAGATGATGTGAAGATCTGGAAAACAATCAGCTGCGTTGACGACGCGCAGAAACTACAGGAAGATGTTAAAAAGCTGGCTTCATGGTCCAGCAAGTGGCTTCTAGCGTTTAACGTATCCAAATGTGTAGTCTTGAGATTAGAATCTGGTCGGAGGAGATTCCCAAAATACCAGTACACCATAAATGGGGTTCCACTAAAAGAAGTGGACACGCACAAAGACCTAGGTGTCTGAACATGCTCAAACTTGCTGTCCTCTCAGCACTGCAAAAGAGTCGTCCAGAACACTTCTCAGATATATTCGGCACGTTCGTCAGACAGCATTTGGAATACGAAATGCCATCATGGATGCCCTGGATGAAGAAAGACAGTGATGCCATAGAGCAGGTGCAAAGACGGGCCACAAAACTGGTGGACGGTCCCAGGACTCCGACATACCCAGAAAGACTGATCCAGCTAAACTCGTTCCCCTATCCTATAGACGAATGAGGTGTGACCTGTTATGGACATTCCGCATTATCCACGGGCATGAACGTTCGCTCAAAACTGAAGACTTCTTTAAATTCACGACCATGAGTCACCTACGCGGTCATCCGTACAAAGTCAAGCGGGAGCGTACATGCCTAGACCATCGGAAGTTTTCCTTCAGCCAGCGTGTTGTTCGACCGTGGAAATCACTTCCGAGTGAAGTGGTGACATCTGATAGAAGGGCTGTATTCAAAAGGCAACTGGATCGTTTGATCTTTGATAAGAGACGACTCTCACTACAGGGCTATCTGCGGCCAGCCATAAATTTCATTTCTTGATTTCATCCCTATGTAACACATTCCTGACTTTTTGTGAAATTTTCCCTGTCAGACTATGCAAATGACTGCACTTTATGCGGATTGTATATAACTGCACTTAAAATTTCATATGTGCAGGCTTTTAGCTAATACCTGTGTTGTTAGTACGGTAAATCATTGCACAGTTCTATTGAAAAGACCGCCTGCCGCACCCTTGGCAGCTATACACTGTACAAACGTTTTCCGTAAACAAATATTTTACTGACAACATTCTAGTAAAATGTGCATTTAACATTAATATTGTATGTACCGTTTTCAATAGGGTAATCAAGGTCATTGCCTATTACCCTAAAATACACTATTATTATTATAAAAAAAAATTAAGGCCTTTGATTCCAATATAGCTAACTCACCATCTGGATACTTGGGGAATATCTGGGCCAGCTGGGAGCAGGTTCGCGCAGGAACCTCACGTGTACCGCGCGGAATCTTGACAGCATTCATGCCAATCTTCCGAGAGGCCTGAGGGTCATCGCCGTAGAGGAGGCCCTTGGTTGGTGATCGACGAGCCTGAACGCTCATAATCTGGCCAGGGGGGCCCGGTGGACCGGGAGGACCAGGTGGACCCTGGACACCAGGCGGACCAGGATCACCGTCGTTTCCAGGAGGTCCCTGTGGACCCGCCTCGCCCACGTCACCGGTCTCTCCTCGTCGACCTTGAGGACCCTGGGGACCTCGTTCACCGTCGGGGCCAGTGGGACCACGTTCACCCATGGCGCCAGGGTAACCAGCGGGACCATCATTGCCAGGAGGGCCAGGCAGACCAACGGGTCCTCGACCACCAGGGGTGCCCTTGGCACCGTCGGGACCACGTTTTCCGGGTCGTCCTTCCTTGCCTCTTTGGCCAGGTTGTCCCTGGGGACCCCGTGGGCCAGTTTCGCCATCAGGCCCTGGAAGACCATTAGGACCGTTTTCGCCCTTGGCACCAGGTTCGCCCTTCGGACCAGCAACTCCACGTGGGCCTCTGGGACCCATAGGACCGGGTGTACCTTCGTGTCCGGGAGGACCAGTTGGGCCAGGAGTACCCTGTGGTCCACGTGGACCAGCAGGGCCTGTGGGACCGCGTTTGCCTGCGGGACCAGCGCGACCGGTTGGTCCAGCATCACCGACTTCTCCAACTGGGCCCATTTCACCATAAGGACCCTGCGGGCCCTGCTCACCGGCAACACCTTCAATGCCCTCTTTGCCCTCAGGACCCTCTGCACCGGGCTCGCCAGCGGGACCGGCAAAACCAGGGTGTCCAGGTGGACCTTCAGGACCCTCCTTGCCTGGCTCACCGGAGTCGCCTGCAGGACCCATAGGTCCAGATGGTCCACGTCGACCCTGCGGTCCAGGACGTCCATCACGTCCGTCAATGCCATCAATTCCAGCCGGACCAGTCGGACCTCTTTCACCAGCTGGACCAGGAGGTCCAGCCGGACCGCGTTTGCCGGGCTCACCAGCCATGCCAGGAAGACCGACGGGTCCAACTGGACCAGGTTTGCCGGACATACCGGGTGGACCCATAGCACCTGATTCTCCCGCGGGACCACGAGGTCCGGGTGGTCCAGCCTCTCCAGGCGGTCCTTCTTGACCATCTTCACCATCAGCTCCATTTTTGCCATCTGGACCAGGATCACCGGGGGGTCCAGCGGGGCCTCGCTCACCCGCCTCACCAGTCATACCGGGTTGGCCGGGCTCACCAGGCTCACCCTTCGGTCCCATCACGCCGGGGGCACCGGTTTTTCCTGTGGGTCCTCTGGCTCCCTGTGCACCCACAGAACCGGCGACTTGCTTCTCTGCGCGTTTCAATCCCGGAGGGCCGGGAGGGCCACGAACACCTTGCGGTCCTCGAAGACCCTATAAAATGCAAAATGTTTTTCCTTTTTTCAGCTAGTTTCATTGTCGTTGAAAGTCATGGACTCTTTACTCGGCTGTTACAGAGAGTCCTCAAGGTCGTGAACGACAATTTGCCAAATAATCATGCAGTCAAAACTGTCCAATCCCATTAAAGAAGCAGGAAGTTTACAATTTGCCAGTCTTCAGCATGAGAGACCAGTCAGACGGGTGTGCGTGCATTTCATTGTGGAGAAATACGGACTAACACCGACAAGGGAGAATTGGTACTTTGGCACCGGTGGAACCACGGTTTTACAGTGATGTCGATCCATGGGTTCGAGCTCACTTGAGGACTATGGGTGCTCCCGGCGATAGTTATCGGTTAGAGGTACGGCCCACTAATTAGGGGTACGCAAGTTTGAAGAAGCTGTTGTCTTAGTCCCTTGTATTTCCGGATCTATTCCTTAGACCTCCATAGACAACTGGGAGTCCCTTGGTGGGTAATACGAAAGAAATATTTAATAGGATATATGTCACTTTTTTTTCCAGGAACGTGTGGCAGACCCTTCTCCGCTTACTGGACTTTTATGTATGCCTGAGTTGTTATGTCTAACAAGCACTGCACGAATGTAGCAGTTGCTTTCACCACAACCTCTTCGTTTAGTGTTTTCACTTACAGCCGTAGAGCGAGGGTCCTCCGATTTGGTTTTTGCTCAGGTAAGGTTAACTTTTGTCTGCTCCACAACAACCAACACAACTAGACGATTGAGCCAAAAACGGACCGTTGGGTCCCTTGATCTGTTTGCATCTCTTCGTTACTGGTGAGTTGGTACATCGCGATCAACTGGAATGCACGTCACGGTATTATGTCCAGACAGGCGGATGAGAGAGAGAAGGAAGGTGGGTCCCAGGAACCACCCCTTCATTCTGCCAGCTTGAGTAACACGACACCCTACTTGCTATAACTCGTCTTATTCACTGGACTGCTTACAGTTCTGGAACATGTGGGGCCTCTGGCGTGGTGGTCGTGAACTGTCCGTTTCTTGTGCGATAATCCCTCTGTGAACGAGCCGAATTTTCCGCAGGCCACTGATTGGGCCACTCGCGTGAGCAAAGGTATCACATTTGTTTAGTGGCGCAGTGCACGTTGATTGGCTGGCCGATTTCACGCGTACATCTCTCAGCCGGTTTGGCCTGCTGTGCCGCGCATGGTCGCGTTTTCCATTCTCCGTAAATCATGACTCTATTCCAAAACCGTCCCCCGTAATATATCGCGCGTCCTACATCAAGCCATCGGGTTATATTAGCCAGGATGCTTAAGCAGACATTAACGTGTATAACAAAGCCCACATAAACACACGCGGTAAAATCCAAGGTACCTTAAGAGAGATCAGATGTTTCCTAATCAGGCACTCATTTGGGGCAGTCAAGGGCAGAGTATTAACTCACATCTCGTCCGGGGAAGCCGCGAGGACCGGGCAGTCCATCGTCACCAGACTCACCCACGTCGCCGCTATCTCCGGTCTCGCCGGTCACACCAGGCGGTCCAGCAGGGCCCTAAAAGCAACGTCAATAGAAGGGGGGCAGGTGTCAGTGATTGATTCTTTTCTTGTCTACTTGGATCCTTTGCGATAAAGCGGTTAAGTGACTTACGTGAGGACCAGGCAAGCCCATTACGCCTTCATCACCGGGTTCACCAGCATCGCCCTTCTGGCCGGTTAGACCTCGTTCACCGCGAACACCGCGAGGACCCGCGGGTCCAGGCTCACCGGGGGCTCCGGGGGGACCCTGTTTGCCGTCCTTGCCGCGGGGTCCCTGCTTTCCGTCCTTACCGGAAATACCGTCGAAGCCAGGAGGACCATCCTCGCCATCTGCTCCGGGACTGCCAGCTGGACCCTGCTCTCCTGGAGGACCAGAGAAACCGGGGGCGCCTACTGTGCCAGTAGGACCGGGGGGTCCATCAGCACCCGGGGGACCAGCACTGCCGGGTTCTCCGAGGTCACCGGCAGCACCGTAAAATCCTCGAACGCCTTTTGAACCCTGCTCACCAGCTGGTCCACTGAGACCCTAAAGAGTTGGAAGGTTACTGGGTTCAGCGATTAGGTGTACACAATACGCACTGATTATTCACGTAAAAAAGACGGACGGTTTGAGTGTACATCCATGACTACCCCCAGCAAGGAAGCGAAGGCGTAGCATTCAGGTACTGGAATTTCTTTGAATGGCAGGAGAACATACTAGGCTTGGTTAGGTAAATGACTACCTTCCATTCCAAGGCAACTACCTTCGCCTGCCTGCCTGCTGACCAATCGCCTGGTCTCTCGTTTGTGGACAGTAGTCTACTGCGCTAAAACTGGTTATAGGATGAAGACTACTATCCATCTTTAGTCATCTGGTCAGATAGCTGAACTCTTTTTCTCCGGGAAACCGAGTCGCCTACACGAACACAGTCGTTCCCGATGCGACTTTTACCTGGTCCACTCGAGTCCGTCTTTCACATAAGTTGCCACCACGACTCCTGAATGAGGAGTGGTATGAACCAAAATTGCCTCTCCCCCCCCCCCTTGGTTATGAATGCATCCCATCGTTAAGCTCGATTCCAGGTGGCCTTTGTTTAGTGACTCCACGTGAGTATAAGTTCCCTTCCCTGTCCACTTACTTAGCAATCTTGACCTGATGATAGCTGAGACATAGACTCAGGCCGAGTAAACTGTGCTCGAGAATAATATGAAAATGGCATCCTTTATTCTGGACAGATCACAGTACGGAATGGTGACAGCCTGCTTTGCCTCCTTGGACCTCCGATGTTATGTACAGTAGATGTGCTAACTCATGAAATGTCAACCAAAATTTCGAAATGCGTTCTCGTTTCGAAAAGATAAATTAAGTTGTGTTGTAAAACTAATCATGATGCAGCATAAATCTATAATGATCCAGTTACCTAAGGCTGTCGGCTTTCGAAAGAACTTATTTTCGGCTGCATGCAAGGTCTATACTCTTCAAAAAATGACTGCTTAAGTAGTATGCAATTTTATCAGTGATTTTCGATTCCCTTGAAAATTCAATTATATTTCATGGAAAACGTGCATAAAAATATTCATTCTTTTACTTATTCGGTAGAAAATCACGTCTTCTTCCAATTTCATACTCAAAAGAATATTAGAATTCGGTTTTAAAAAGCTTTTCTAATTCCCGAATAATTTTGAACCCGACCTGCTATTACACTTGCATTCAGGGTTTCAAAACTACAAGCTGTATATTTTCCGTGTACGGAAAACCATGCATTTCTCTACGGTGTTAAGAGGAGACTATATGAGGTTCATAAAATTAAGCAGTGGATTTGAGCAATATTGTTAACTTTACCAGCCACATTCGTAAATGCAGATACATGACGTTTCATGAACGGCCATTTAACGGTATTAAAAAATCTCACAATTAGAAACTTTTTTAAAACCGAATTATACTCTTCTTTTGCGTATGAAATTGGAAGACGCGATTTTCTACCGAATACGTAAAATAATAAATATTTTTATGCATGTCTTCCATGAAATATAATTGAATTTTCAAGGGCATCGAAAATCAATGAGAAAATTGCATGCTACTTAAGCAGTCATTTTTTGAAGAGTATAGACCTTGCATGCAGCCGAAAATAAGTTCTTTCGAAAGCCGACAGCCTTAGGTAACTGGATCATTATAGATTTATGCTGCATCATGATTAGTTTTACAACACAACTTAATTTATCTTTTCGAAACGAGAACGCATTTCGAAATTTTGGTTGACATTTCATGAGTTAGCAATCTACTGTAGGCGGCTTCGTACTGACGGACATGATTAAGCGTAGTAAGCTCTTTTTCCATCTGAGTTCAGACTATAGGTTTTAAAAGGTGGATTGGAAAAGATGTTTCAAGGCCCCCCTCTTGACTTCTACACGACAAAGCAGTTTGTAGAAACACTTCCATACTTCCAGACATTTGGAATCTGATAATCAGTCGTCACCCACCCCCTATGACTAACAAAAATGACACCTGGATTGTCATTTAGTATTGGGCACAGAATGAAGATTTCACCTCAGCCTGCAGTCGAATGCAGATAGGTGCGTGACGTTGGGAATTAGTGCGGGGGTTTCAGTAGCTCGCAAGATTATGACAAACTGTCAAGTTATCCCAAGTTTGATGGAGATATTAAATGTTGAAAAGTTGCCTCAGGAATAAAAGCAAACGTATTATCGTAAAAAAAAACCTATAACATAGAACCCCCTACTGAAAGATGGTGAAGGGTGACACGCATGACTCTAGGAGATAAGGATCTGCAGAAAACATCACGGTAGGCCAGACAAGGAACTGCTAAGAGGAAATCGTTGGTGTTTTTCTTACCGGTGGACCAGGAGGTCCAGGTGGGCCCATAGCCCCTGACACACCAGGCATTCCGGACTTTCCAGTGGAACCAGTTCGGCCGGGTGGGCCGGCAGGGCCGGGGGCTCCTTTGGGGCCAACCTGTCCATCGGCACCGTGGCTTCCCATTTCGCCCCTAGCGCCAGGCAATCCATCCACGCCGGGTCGACCCATGGGGCCTGGTGCACCGGCCAGACCGGGTTCGCCCTGGGGACCCGCCTCACCAGCAGGTCCGTCAGCGCCTGGACGACCGTCGAGGCCGGGGGCTCCGGAAATTCCAGCCATCCCAGTCTCACCGCGGACGCCCTTAAAGAAGAAGAAGAGGGGTTACAAACGCGTGTTTAGGTTATATCCAAAAAAAGACCGGAAGACGTCATCGAAGGGCAGGATAGTAAAGAGGGAACGAGAGGGAGAGAGGACACATGGGAAATTGTTCTTACCTTGGCACCGGGTAGACCCATCGGACCGCGTTCACCACGGAGACCGGCTTCACCTTGGTCACCAGCACGACCACGCTGGCCCTTCTCACCTTTTGGACCGATAGCGCCAGCCTCACCAGACGCACCGATGGGACCTTGGTCGCCTTGTGCGCCCTTTCTGCCCGCTGGACCCTGACGACCGGGTGCTCCTCGCTCACCGCGGATGCCCGTTGGACCCATTGAGCCCTGAGGGCCTGTTACACCGGTTTCACCGCGTGGGCCAGGTCGACCGTCAATGCCGGGCTCGCCCTAGACAAAAGAGGAACCTCTTTTACTTACTGGAAGGACGTACTGTTGTACTATACAGGACAACAATGGCAGCAGTTTGTGTCTAAATAGACCTTTGATCCTTCTCGTAAAGACTTTATTTCTATAGACAGTAGGTCTTTCGCACTTTGGCCCTTAGAAGCTACAAGTAGTTCTTGCAGACGTAGAACAATATCGTGCGACCAAGGAGGTTCCTCACTGAGAAATCTATTTTCAAATGTTAAAGTCCCAAGCACGGTAGGTGGTAGAATTCAAGTTTGTCCTTTGCTTTTTCAGCCGTTTCGGGGTCAGAAGAAGGTACGCCTGTGAGTAGTGGTCCCGGGAACTTTGTCAATCTTGTTTCTAATAACACTTTGGCAGGTGGGGAGAGATCGGTCAGTAGATTCTGGATCAGAAGACCAGCGACCAGGGAACCTATGACTCTGAAAGTTGTCATCCTTGACGAATGAGGCAGTTTTGCCAGTGACCAGATCATCTTTACTGGATTGAAAGTTTCAGTGTATCATTAGCCTTTGCGTGCCAGCCAATCTAACAGTCCTCAGCACGCCAGTTGTGAGCATCAGCAGGTGGCGGCACCGAGAAGGTCCCTCAATCATCAGGGAGGTGGTTAGGTCAGTGACTGAAGCACGCGGCAGTCGTACTCCCTTTGACTATTTTCTCTTCCCGTTGATAGACGCGTCTTCTCAACCAAGGATTCCTCCGACGCACTACACGCCTAACCCCCTCTGCTTTCTTATGGTTAGAACATCATTTTTTGCCGGAAATGAGTGAGGACGTGGGCACTAACATTAACTTCATAAGGGAGTATTCCGTGCAGCTATAGTCGGCGTTCACCGATCCGGCCTGGTTACGGGACAAACTATGTGCCTTTTGTTTTGCCTTGAAGTTCCGCTCTAAAGCTATTTCGGACGGTGGCAGAAGAGTGGGGAATTGGGATAGGGATATGGGATACTTCACTGGTCATTTATAACTGAGTCACCTTCGTCAGCCAATCAGATCCCAAACTTGAAAACGGGTCCAGTTGGTCAGCGAACATAACGCTCTGCCAGCTGAGTCGTGCGCCTAGACTTTGTGAGTTGTATTTAGGGGATGCTAGCGTCAATTAGGAATGACGTTCACTGGTATGACCTGGTTTTAAGGCGATCTGCTCTCGGAGTATGGCTGCCTAATGACTGTAAATAAGCTAGCACATCCTCCTCAAAATCCCCTTATCTTTGCCGGTAATGCTTATAAAAGAGTAATGCATTAGACTGAAATATAACCATCCCCTCCCTGAAACCAACTCCGCAGACTACACCGTATCCCGCGAATGTGATAGTCCGCCACAGCATTCTATCGTCAGAGTTTAATGCCTGTAAGAACAGTGGTAGTTCGACCGTCGTACTCGACGATGTCCGTCGTGTGTTCCACAGCAAGGTGGTGCAGGCATGATGACTTGCGCGTGATTTAGTTTATAATGAGAGTAGACTTGCGCAGCATCTACCGCACTCTCTCCTCCCCACCTGTGCCCGCTGTCAAGACACAGTCAAGAGGACCAGAGGCGGATGAGGGCGCAGGTGGCTGGCACGGCCGGACCCGCACATAGGCGTACCATCACACCCCCTGGTCCACAACAAGCACTTGACCAGAATTTTAAGCAACAACACCACCACCACCACAACGGGCCAGAAAGATGATGAGGATGATGACAGGGGGTAGCCCTGCCCACGACCTGCATACCCAGAAGGAGCGCAGGCGCATCTACTGACAGGAAACCAGGCGTTAAAGAACTGCCAGCACGCATCAGGTTGGGAGGACCATGGTTTTCTGAATCCTGTCATAGCAGACGCTTACATTCCTTGAGGCCTGTATGAACCATACTAGAAGAGCCAGTCACCATTAATGCTATTGCATATTAGCGTGCACAGCTCTAAAGTGTGCACCTTATACTAAATCTCGCATCGTTTAAGTAATGCATATTGACCGTGTAGGCATACATCAGTGTAAGTAAATTTCGAGCCGTATCAACAGAAGCAAATCCCCGCTATGTTGCCGTGTAGAATGTTTTCTTTTCTGTGACTTTATGGAGCACATCTCCACCAGGCTAATAATTGTGGTGAGTAGGCGTTCAAACGTGTCCTTTTTGTGGGTGGATAACCAAACGTCAGCTGAAGGAACTTGGTCGAGGGAAATGAATATGGCGGTTATACTGCCGAAAGAATCCTACCCGAGGTCGATAACCAAGCGCAGACGTGTATCCAAAGTAAGTACGAAAGTATCAACCATAAAAGTATGGAGCGGAGGCTGGTTATATCTCAGTCCTTTCAAACAGTGTTATTAATGGTATGCAGCTACTGGAGTGTACAAACATTTCCCAGCTTTTTATTTTCCTTAATACTACTGTTTACCAGCCATTTGCCTTTTTGTTTGTACGTGGTGTGTTTTCGCCTCGGTGTAGACAAAATTCCACAAAAAGGAAAGCAAGGAAACTGAAACAGCTAAGCAATCACGTATTAAAATGTGTGCAGTATGTTAATTAGAGTGAAATTAAAGACCGTACTAAGCAAATAGTTTTTGTCGTTGCAATACTTTTCAACGGCAATTTTGCGATTGACCGGCACATCGGTTTGTCATTAGACATTCCTAGTAATGAAACCGACTGTTTGTATTCCACAAGAATTGTCTCAAGGGCTCCCTCTCTCTTTTGCCTGTCGAACGGCTCCAGTCATAAAAGCTTTCATTTAGATGCATAAATCAGGCGATGCTGACATGAGTGGTTGTCCTTACTTCTCGGCAACATCGGAGTTTTTTCCAACATTAATTCTTGGCTTTCGTTTCAGATAAGTACATTTGGGGGCAGCAGAAATCTCAGACAGGCAAGAACTACATGATTCAGTGTTGTTTTTTTGCTTATGCTGAATAGTAATTTTCAGAAATGACGAATAACTCTTCACTTCTTCCAGGAGACCTGCGTGATCGCTGCACGAGAAGTACCTCAAATGCGTAGATATCAAACTGTACAGGGTGTGTGGTCTGAAACAGAGACTCCAGGGGCTACTCACCACTGTTCCGGGTTCACCAGCAGGTCCAGGCATCCCAGCTGCACCGGTGGGACCGCGAGCGCCTTTGGGACCCTTTAATCCCATGTCACCGCGTTCACCTTTTCGGCCCATTTCACCAGACATGCCGGGGACACCAGGGGGACCGACAGGACCCTGAGGACCCTGCAGACCCGGTCGACCGTCAGCACCTGTCTCACCACGGGGGCCCATGGGACCCTGGTTACCGGTAGGGCCCATCTGGCCGACGGGACCCATCGGACCGACTGGACCTTGCGAACCCATTGGACCTTGAGCACCCTAAAAGCGGTAACGTAGGTTTTATTTTTTTTTTTATAAATACGCTCGCATGAGATGGAAGGGGCGAGCAAAGTTTGAACCTACTCTTAGCCCGTCGAAACCGGAATCACCCTTCTCGCCGGGCGGTCCCATATAGCCTTGTCTGCCAGGTTCGCCAGTAGCGCCGGCGTCTCCAGCGGGACCAGGGGGTCCTTGAGGACCAGGGGGACCAGCAACACCGGGAAGTCCATCACGACCGTCCCTGCCAGGAAGACCGGCCCGTCCAGGTGCGCCCGTATTGCCAGGAGCTCCATCGGGCCCAGGCGGTCCCGCCGGACCAATGGGTCCAGGAGGACCTGCGGCACCCTCTGGGCCCTGAGGACCGGGGTCACCGGGAGGACCGGCGGGGCCGACGGCTGCGGTCGGGCTTTCAACTTGGCCTTTAAGTGAACAAAATACCACCTTGTAAATTTATGTTTGATCAACTGGTGAACAAATAATGACTGATCACTCGTCTGTAGCCTGCTGATAATACCAAGAACTAAGTCATTGCTAAATAAACACTCACCATTTCGGCTTTATTGGTACAGAACAATCAATAATAGTGTTCTGATCGTTAATTATCTCTAAATGAGGCGAGCAAATTAGATGTTTCACCGGTCGCCTGCATAAAGCATGGGGTACATTTACATTTTGACCAGTCAGTTAATTGTGATTGGCCATTTTTCGCGCCGGCTAGAATTTTTATGGCAGTTTTTCATAAAGCTCCTGTCTCTCTGAAAAGTATGTACCCGAGTGAAACGGTCAAAGTGCGGGATCCCGCCAAAATAGAGGACGTTCGCGATACCAACCGGGTTGATGAATGTCAACAGTGTTTTCGAAAAATGGTAGGACGCACTCTCGCTTACTGAATTTCTCGAAGACTTACTTGTCCAAATACTATGACAACCGAAGGGCATTTTAACTTTTTTTTCAAAAACGTCTCACTTCTCCGTCCGAACGCAGCAGACAGATGACAGGTGGCTACGTTCAGACGGTGGAGTCGCTGAATAGATTATCCGCAGTTACGCGCCGGACAAATGCTTTGTTTGTAAACAAAGTGTCCCTTCTGCCAAATGCGTACGCTGGGGGGTACGCACTGAACCTGACGAGTCGTTGTCTGAAATCCTTCATTCAGCCGCCAACTGGAAGAGATCTTTTTGGGGATGGGAGATTCAAGGCTGATCAGCATGGAGCCTAATCCTACCCGGTAATACGACGATTTTAGGTTAAGAATTTCAGCCATCAGTGGAAACCGTTCTGGAGAAGAGGTAGTGGCGTTTTTCCATTAATGCTGGAGACTTTTCAGAAACAGATGTCATCTCTTTCTCAAGTATAAACTTTTAAGAGAACCTAATTTGTCGTTAAACAAGCATATAAAATGAGAGTTTTATGCTGTACTTGTGTGAAGTATGCTTTGAACTACGCGGTCATTGAAAATTAGTGGTAAATAACACTACCTAAGCAAATCCCTTAGGGTTGGTGGCCAAATAAATCCTCAATTACAATCCACCATAGTGTCATGCATGAATCATCCAAGAACTACGTTGCATGTTAATCAGTGTGCTCACCTCAGATAAGTACTTTTTCTCCATTCTAAAACCCACTTGTAAATTACAGTTAACCGCTAAAACATTCCGCACACGCTACCGTTTGTGGCCACTTTGTCAATGCCTATCCCCAGACTTATTGAGACCGGTATCTCTGCACTTTTTTCGATGGAGAACGGACAATCAGCCGTCATCTGTGACTATACCCAGAAGTAACGTCAGGCAGTAAGTTTAAACAATCTCAATACTGTCCTAAAAATGGTAACTAACCGTTCCACCAGTTGCCATGGCTACTGTCCGAAATTGCTCTATGCCCTACTGAATCGAGCTGTATTCACCTGAGGATTCTGAAAACACAGCTGTGTCCCCAGAGTGACCAATCTCGTAAGTGAACGAGACTCAAAGAAATTCCCCCTACCTGTACTTAAATAATAAACCGTCTCGACCTCATTGCAACATGCTGACTAGATGGGAAAAGACAGGAGTCAAACGCATCTCATCATTCTGCCCTGAGAATAGGAGGAAACGTGTGGATAGGTGTATTAAAAGGCCATGCTGAAATTTCGAGGCCAAAATCGAAGTGATCTTTTTCCCAGCGTTTTAAATGAGCCACAAAACAGCCTACTGCTCTACGCCTGAATAGCGTGGACTTAATTTCTCAAGAAATCATCACAAAAGTAGCGCGTACGTCGTTCAAGATAGGTTCAAAACTGGCTTACCGTGGACTGCGACGATTAGGAAAGTCAATTGGAGAAGACAAAGGCCGATGAGCCTCAAGCGGCTCCGGCTCCCATGTCTGTACGTCATGACTGACCGCCAGAGAACACAAGGCGGATAGCTCTCTGGACGGAATCAACGCAGTACTCGCTTGACTTGCGATACCGCACTGATCCGACGATGTGCGGGAAGTGTGCGCTCCGCTGCCTAGAGCTGGCGCTAGCTGTTTGCAGACCTCTACAGCAAACGCCAAGCCTTCGGCTGACAGCACTACGGCTCCGGTGTCCATCCCGCCCCCACAATACCGGTCCCATCCCACTGGCATCTATTGATCGCCCCCCCTCCCGCCACAGTTGTACCCTTTGTGCTAGAGCGGCAACTGAAATGTATCGATCGGCCGCAGGCGCTTAGGCACGCGTTAATACGTTAGCGCGCCTTGTTCGAAAGCCGGGCCAGCGTAGGTTACGGGCGCGCGCGCACGCGTGTGTGTGGCCGCGGCAACCTACAAATTAGGCCTCAGATTGGCCGGGTGCACCAAGGCGCAGACGAGGTTGCAATGTAGTGGAAGGCCCTAAACTAGGCCGGTTGGCCTGGCGGTGGGAGTACGTGGAGGAAGTCGAGGGCTGCATAATGGGACCGCAGTGGCGCGACCCGGTTTTGGGAGCTCGGTTTCACCGTCCGTTGGAAGTCAGGATCGCGCGGTCTTTCACTCACTGCGGCTCTAAAAACCCAAATAGCAGGTTTTTTCGTTTTCTTCGCTATTACGAGGTCTTCGATGCGTGTGTGCGTTTTGTTTCAAAAAGGGAACAGGACCTATTATACCCCCAAGGTGTTTCCGTTGTCATTATCGAACTGATGATTGAGAGGACGTTGAAGTTGATACCGACTGTTGCGATTAATCAACAGGTAGAGTTAACTAGTCAGTTCTTTAGATCTCAGCAATCAAAGGACACGCCCCGGTATTTTGCGTCTATTGATTTTTAAGGATACATGTAATTTGCAGTAAACGTATGTGACTTTGCCGAACGTCAGAAAACCCTTGAGATGGTTCTTCTCCCGGCAAAAAACCATTTGAAGAATGCGGTTCCCTGAGTAGTGCTTACTGAACTTGGCATCGATGTAAATTTTACCACACCGAAATTGGGTGGTGAATTATGTTTACCACTGTCCTATTCGGCTCTCAGGGGGACGCTTACTTATCAGCCGTATGTTCACTTTTGTGGAAAGGGTGTCTTATTCGAAAGTACGCTAACAAAGACACTGAGTATGGCTATAGCAGTTGATTCGCCGTCACCCTATGCCTCCTCCAACCAGCCCTATCGACGACCGACGCTTGTGACTGGGCATCAGATCGATGTGTGAAAGTAGATCATATACAGTCTCGATGGGGTTAAAGAGATGGGTCAATAACGTCTCAAAACCGAGGTCCCACCGGCGTCTCTTTCCGAGTATGAGACAGCTCGTTGTGCCAGGCGTGCGTGATTGGCTGACTGGTCAGTCGATTCATGGATGGTGCACTTAAAAAGTCATGGATATTACAAGGGTTGGTCAAGATCGCTTATGTACCTCCCATCCCCCTGGTAGGACGCGGAAATTGGAACCCCCTATGTAATAACGTGGGGGGGGGGCTTTTAATCCCCGCGTGGCCTCGCGACAAATTCCTAGGGAAGCTACCTACTCCCGTGTCCTAATCGTAACCCCAACCTTAACCCTAATCCTAATTTCCCTGGAATGTAGGGCAAGGCCGCCTGTATTACGCAGCGTTCCTATACCTCTTGTGGGGACTGCGCGGAACGGAGTGTGTGTAGTCTGTGCGCCACCATCGTCAGGTCAAATCCCCAGTTGTGAATAAGGACAGAAGGTGCCAGAGGGAAGGGTTTACTGTATACAGAACCCGGGATCGTCCTCTCAGGCGGCAGTGGCCGCTGACGAAGCCAGAGCTGGCGTTGACTGCGTCAGTCATGCCCGAGAGTCCCTGGACCAGTGGTGGCAACCGCTTATGCAAACTCATGGCCAAGCTCAAGTGGTCTCCAGTCTGCGTGTGTGTTGCATTTGACGATGGGTGGTGTCCCAGTGGCTTATGTTGCCGGTTGCGCGTCCAAGTGACGCATGGGTAGCCGCGACCCTGTGAGGACACAAGTGTGTCCGAGCTGAAGTCGGTCGAGCGGCTTCAGGTCAGCGGGTCTGGAACGGCTCGCTGCAAGGGGTGAGTGACCTTGAGACAGCGGGATCGTGAACAATGACGCCAGACCGGGCATGATGGCTCCCTGCAACGCTCTCCTGTCGGGGGCACATAAGCGGTCCTTCCCTAAATGTTGACATCAAAAGCGGTCAGTAATGAACAGCAACTGTTCCGGACACATTTAGTGTGTCCGTTAACTAGTGATACCCCAAAACACCACGGTCGACAGATGAGATCAGACCGAGAGGCTAACAGCGCCACAAAACTGGTAACAACGTAGCAACTGTGTGTGGTGCATGATCCTGGCAGTACACTAGCTGCTGCTGCTGCTGCTGCTGCTGCTGCTGCTGCTGCTGCTGCTGCTGCTGCTGCTGCTGCTGCTGCTGCTGCTGCTGCTGCTGCTGCTGCTGCTGCTGCTGCTGCTGCTGCTGCTGGAGGCGGCCGGTTTCATGGTTTTAACTCTTTTTTTCGACACCCTCGGCCTATATAACTACGCCTGATCTCCTCAAAACCGCATGAAGGTGTCTCAACTTTGTATGGTGATAATTCAAGACTCGCTGGCGGAGAGGAACCATTAACAACGAAGGCACTGAGTGCGCACATAACCAACCAGACGGTCGGTTAGTTTGAACCGAGACCATGACTTTGAATGTTTGCACCTCAGATCAAACAGAGTGGACTTTTCTATGACAAAGGGTGGAGGGGTAGGGTTGGAGCATGCAATTTTCCAGCGAATGATATTTCAAATTATTTACTCAGATACCGATAAAGTGTGTCTGGCTTATAGAGATATTTGTGGGAGCGCTTATGTTCCGCTCAAAGCAAACGAAATAGTGCAAGGCTCAGGTGTCTTTGAATCCAAGAGAGAGAGAGAGGAGGGAGAGAGAGGAATACGCTTTATTTTGAAAGTTTCAATTCCAAATTCTCAGCAAAAAGTGGCTCCACTCTCTGTTGACAGACTGTAAATTAGCAAATTACGCAAGAGTCAAAAAGTTTGCACAAAAATAAACATCTATTACAGGAACAGTTCAGGGCTCAGTTCACTGTATTTCAGTCTCTTCACACGTAAGGCAGTGTGCCAGGAATGGCAGTACGGAATGCTCATATGCCCATTTACTGCAAGGGATATGTCGGAAACAATGACGCGTGGAGCGTGAGGACTTCACAGCAATTAGTTCAGAATGAAGGGGATGGACAACGTCATCCAGAACTCGACTAGCAAATTGCTTGACCGTTTTGAAATGTCATTATATGACAGTATCGACTAAAAATACGTAGGAGGACCGGTAGGTTGAAAGACGCCACTTTACTGTCGGTAAACTGTGGATCTACCATATGGGGTTTTGTTTTGCCATCCATTTGCAGGCCGTCGCAGGCATAACATTGCCAAGAACAATTACTTTCCGTGACCTCAAACCATTACTCGAAGTCCATTATTGTTGAAATCTGCTCGTTTGTTTATTTTTTAACCAACATGCTCATCTTCGTCACCATACGAAAGCGTACGACAAGACTTTCGGCACAAAACCCAAGAAATTTTTGTTTTTGTGAATTTTGTCAGCTTACCGTCTGGCGTGCTGCCCCGCCCGTAAAACCCCGATTACCACCATTCCCGTATGACACGATCAGAGGTCTACCAACAGTCAAGTGGGCTCCGTCACCCTACCGTTGCCGGCATAAGAAACACCGGTAGCGGAAGAGTGGCGTGTATTATATTGACCGGGGGCAATATGTTCAAGTTGGTCATGGAGGCCAGCGATATTCCGAATGCACAAATGTGCGCATGTTGTAGTCGGTCAGACTGTAGGGTCAGTACAGCACGTCTGTAACCGTTTCCTGCAAGGTTGAATGACCTTAGCGCGGTTGGGAGTTGAACAAAGGCATCAGGCATCGTAGTGATGGCCGTCGGCTCCGGGTTATCCTGGATCCGACCGGTGTCAGCAAGTTCTGCCAGGCATCTGGCTAGCTCGCAGTTTTGGAGGTTGCACTCCTCCCAAGTCGTTTGACGGACAAGTTGCCCAGATGAATACGATGAGTCTAAGCAACCAGAATGAGCAAAGTGACTGTATTATGTTTACTTATATATGGTAACCAGAGACAAGAAAACTCAGTTAACCGGTAATCGTTAGTGTTTATTTTTGGCCATTAGCAACCAATGAGATTTGTCCGGGGCAAATTTTAACCCCCTTCCGTCGGTGGCCGACAGAAGTTAAGTAAGCTCCTGTAGAAAGTTACCGCCACAGCATCATAAGTCCTCGTTATGCAGTCCTTAAACACTCGCACGCAAACGGATTGTGATGCCTCAAACTCCATCCCCTCCGACGTTCCTAGGTTAACTCAAGACACCTACACTTCCAACACAGGGTCGATTATCTCACTCCTACTAACTGAAATTGGGCATGCACTCTCCCTCTCTCAAGGTATTAGAAGACCGTATGGGGTTCATAAAATTAAGCCGTGGATTTGAGCCACATTGTTTACTTTACAAGCCATATTGGTAAATGCAGAGACATGACGTATTTCACGGTATTAAAAAATCTCCTAATATGAAACTTTTTAAAACCGAATTATACCCTTCCCTCGAGTGTAAAATTGAAGGAAGACGTAATTTTCTACTGAATGAGCAGAAAATGAATATTTTTATGCATGTTTTTCATGAAATATAATTGAATGTTCAACGGCGTCGAAAATCGATGAAAAAATGTAAACTACATAAGTATCCATCCTTTACAGACTATAGTCTTTTCATGCAGCCGGAAAGAAGTTCGTTCGAAAGCCGGCGTCCTAGGGTAACTGAATTTTTATAGAATTAGGCTGCACGATGGTTGGTTTTACTACCCTACTTGATTAATCTTTTCGAAACGGAAACGCATTTCGGAATTTCTGTTGAGATTTCATGACTTAACCC